TCTGTAAAAAAAATTTCACATCAGACTTAAAGGAGTCTGTCAATAATTCAGCATTACAATTATACTACCACGTGTTATACACTGAAGATTGCATAACGGGCGATCCCTTCCGGAACTGGGCAAGTGATCCAGAGAGAGAGAGTATAATTAATGTATAATCTGCTTTTCACCGAAAGCAGTTATAAAGATGACAAACTTTAGTCACTTCACTACTTTTCTGCTTTTGATTTTCAAGAAAAGAGGCAATGTGGAGGGCACATGTGATGATAATACAGACAAGGTGTGCTCAGTGCAATGATTTTGTATACAAGAAAATGAAAAGACGACCAGGGATATGATGGGTAAAAGCTTGAGAGGCTCTTCCACATTGAATGATTTATGTCTTATTTTCTACATTACTAAGACTAGAAGTGGTGAAACATTAAACTTTGGCTTACAAAATTCTATTTCCTCCACATTCAGAGTTCCCTTTCTTTTTTTGAACATTGGAGAATTGAGAGGGTGAGAGATTTTTTTTTAAATTATTGATAAAAATTAAATTTTTAATTCATTAAATTTAAAAACTTCAAATTTCTTTTTTTTTTTTCTTTTTACCTCTATTTATTAATCCAATCTCTTTCTCATTTGGTGAAGATAATGTATCACTAATTGCTATTGCTTTTGTATGATTGAAAAGGAAGTCTGCTGGAAGGCCAAAAAATTAAACGAAAAGGATGTCTACTGAAATGCAATAAATTCTAACACAGGATGGATTATATAGATAATTAAATCAGTTTGTTATTCCTATAACATAGATAATAAAATTTTAAGAAAATTAAAAAATAAAAATCTATTACAACGTTAGATACTAACACATAAGTAAGCAGTAAAATGCTAAGTAACCAATGATATACATTATGTAATATACACTATTAATTTATTAATTTAAAAAGTTAGAACATTAATAATATTGTTGTGAATATAACCTCATACTAAATGTAAGTGTATATCATCATCAAATAAGTAATATAATAATCAATTCAAAATCATCCCATAAAGAGTAAAGACCAAAAAAAACTCTCGTTAAATTCTAATGTTATCTTAATTTTTAATTTTATTTAACACCTTCGAAATTCAAGAAGAAGAAACACGATTTAATCAATTTTAAACTAAGCTAAACTACATTAATTTACTAAATTAGTTTCAATTTCTAAACAATTTAGGGACACAATTTTCACCAGCTTAACCTGCTACAAACTTCTGTTGTTGAATTTTCTCAATCTATTAATTTCTAAGGGACAATAAAAAAAAATCCATATATAAATTACTAATCTTTCTTAAGATCAGTAATATTTATCTTTTAATCTATCAAGTTTTATATTTCTACACAAATCAAAATAAATAGAAACATTATTAAGCCTTATGATATTTCTTTTAAAATTGGGTATAGATTTTATGAGTATAATCTTATCTCATGCAACCTACGTAGACAAGTGGCAGTTGTCCAAATAACTAATTAAGTGGTTATGTTGATTAAAAATATTAAATAAAAAATAAAGAATCACTTAATAAATAATAAATAAATAAAAATTGATGAATTCAACTAAACTGAAAGATTTATGATTTGAATTCAATTAAAACTCTAAAAAAAATAACTTGGTTCATAATTCAAATTATAGAGATTAATTGTGAAGAAAATATCATTTTCAACGAAAAAAAATAAAAAAATAAGCCAAAATTAATCAATGTCACCGGGAAAGAATTTTCTCTTTTTCATTGGAGTTCCTCCCCCTCCTTTAATTAGCTAGAAAAATCTCATCCTCAACCGGCTGCCCTCAATTCTAATACTGGATAAGTATTGATGTGAAAACCTAATCGTAATAAAAGTGAAACCCATTTCTAAACAATAAGGACTTAGTGTTAATGTGCTGGAAATCGGCTAAGCCGCTACGGTATCGACACGCTAAGTACCGACGCCTTTACTGTACCTGCGGAGAAGAGTCCGCGTTGGAAGTTTTGGCCTTTAAAGCTATTTTGACTCTTCATTGATAAAATTGTTTGGATCCCTCATATTTTAACAAATTGACACTTTGATCTTCTTAATCTTGATTTCTTTGGTTTGGTCTTAAGAATTCCAATCTCTTGCAATCTAGTCTTTATCCATACAAAAATAATTATACATGTGTAAAATCAAGTAAAATAAGTCTCAAACAACTCAAAAACTAATACTTAAAATTAAAAGACATGTAAAAAATATAAAAAATTTAAACTTATCAAGCACAAACACATGTAAGTTTGATAATCTAGAAAGTATGAATACCAATGTAATAGATTTTAATAAACAGTAATAAGGTAGATAAAATAGAGCATAAATTTGCAGAATAAAAACTAAAACTGAATATACCAAAATTTTAATCTAAAAAAAGGAATTTCAACTAATAAAAAAAATAAAATGCTAATTTACTAAGAAATTGAAATGCAAAATATGGACAGACAAATTACTCCAAAATAATAATAAATGATTTGAAACACAACCAAAAAAATGTATGTTGCATTTCTTTCAAGTTGGAAAGAAATTGATATATAGCATCAGCTGACTAACACAACACTCCTACTCTTGGTCAAGAAACAAAAATGATCCCATTTTTGCTGTTGGTTTCGGTATCAAACAATCTAGAAAGTCAATAAAGAGGTTGATTTAGATCTATTATGTATATTTTCCAAAGAAGAGGTTTGCCTATGAGGACACAATCTTTTTACGAACCACTGGTGCAGCTTCTGCACAAAAAAATCCAAGCATAGTTAGAAAAACATAAAAGCAATCTTCAATGAAATAGAAATAAGGGGAGAAGGAAAATTGCCAATTACATTTGCATGTAGCATTCAGAGCACCATATTCATGTTTCACATATTAGATAACGCCAATAGAAACAATTTTTCTTTAAAATATGGATAGTGAGAATATGTTTAAATTGAATGAGTGTTTGATCAATGATTAGTTTAATGAGGGTATAATTCCTGTTAAGGACCAATTTTTAACTTGAAATGCAAGCAGATAAGAAGACATTTTATTAAGATGCATGATTACTCTGCTTAGCCTAAACCCAAACAACTCAAAGATAGATAGAGGAAGAATGATAACTTAATGATCTTTTATTTTATCTAGAGGTCAGGATGACACTTGTAATTTTCAAAGAGTCTTGAGTGGTGAATGTGTGAGCATAATAACTTAATGATCTTTTATTCTGTCTATATAATATAATGCTTTTGTTTTATAGTTGATCTATTAGTAGTCAAAAATTTTAATATTAATATTTAAAAATATTAAAATAAGTAAAAAAAATTTTAAAAAATTTATTATTCTTTATTTTATTGTATATTACCTAATATAAAAAAAATCATATAATGCTTTCTATCGAAAGCAGCTATTATGACATACTTTAATGATTTCATTTATAACTTTTTGCATTAGCTTTTAAAGAAAGTGTTTATTTATTTTATTTAGCACTTGGGTTTTCGGGTTCAGTAACGTCAAGTCATATTTAAGTATATTTGTTTTTGGACAACAATTCAAATTCGATTCCTTGTAAAATTATTAAAAAAAAGAGTTTATTTATTTTATGTTTTTTTACACGGAATGAAGGTATTAATTATGTAATAATTATTATTTTTTATTTTAAAAAATAAAATTA